ACATGACACTTAAGTCCAATCCTCCTACTCTACTATTCAAGTAAAGTAGTAGTAGTAAGAAGGGCGTCGTAAAGGCCCTATGAGCAACATATCAAGAAAAAGCTAGCCCGCAGAGAGGACTGTAAACAACAGCCAATTGTTTTCGGCAAGTAATGCCTTGTTAATTGTTTTCGGCAGTGGAATCGCTGAGCTGTTAAATTCTTTCTGGAGAAGAAAGAACTTCAGAACTGCCGAGAGGCCGATTACCGAAAACAGTGCATCAGTGGCCCGTGCAACTGTAAAACTTGTTATATACACAAAATTGTTAGGCATTTTCGCATATTTCAGAATTTCAAAAAAAAAAAGAAAGCAAATAAATGGCAACGCGCACCAGACTAGCCGGTGCGATCATGCGTTTTATGCAATTCAGCTCAACGAACGATCGCCTATTAATGATTTGCACTGCTTTCTACTTTTATCTATGCAAAAATAGCTCAACAATTGGAAAATAGTTAAAAATTTCACGCACCAGCGCATGAAGGCTGAATTCGAAACCTTGAAAGGTGAATATCTTTCCGTGATTCCCAAGTTAATAGTTTACCCGCAAAAACTTTCACTAGCCCGTAGATGATACCCGAGAGCGCGGAACGCTGAATTTGAATGGGCAAGGTAGAGCGTGGGTTGGGGGTCATTACCCTAAAATTTCAGCCTCCTAGACTCCGTAATTCCTAAGATATTTACCCGTAAAACACTTTCGCGGGGCCGTACGTGTTACCCGCGAGTACGGGAAGGCTGAATTTAAATTTGCCGCGTCACCCGTTGGCGAAGAACACTATACCAAAATTTCAGCTGCCTAACTTTTGTAGTTCCCGAGTTGAAAGTGCGGGACAAAATGTGGGACACACATACACACACACACACACACACAAACACATACACACACAAACAACCCCGTGACAATATGCGTTTTGTAACGCTATCACACAGCACAAAACGCATAGAAACTTACTAGATCAGTCATAGCCGCTCCTGTGCAAATGAGCAATTTTGACTGGCAACCGGAGGCAAGCATTCGCACTGTTTGTGCCATTTTAACAAGGCATTCATCGGACAAAAATGGCGGATCAATTACAACCAAATCAAACGCATTTCGACAGTCTTCTTGAATTTTCAATGGTTCGTTGTAGTCGTAAAAAACAAATTCTTCCGGAAATTTCCACAAAAATCGTCGATCATATTCGAACAGCCTGACCGTAGCATGTCCTGAGGTTATTCGCTAAATTTGGCAAGTTTTAATAAAAATCTTAGGAAATTTTTTCGGCAAAAATTCGGAAATTTTGAAAAAAGTCGTTGATAAAATTCGAAAAACCTGGTCGTAACATGTCCTGAGGCTATTCGCTAAATTTAACAAATTTTAATAAAAATCTTCGGAAATTTTTTCGGAAAAAAATTCAGGAATTTTGACAGAAAACGTCGATCATATTTGAACAGCCTGACCGTAGCATGTCCTGAGGTTATTCGCTAAATTTTACAAATCTTTAATAAAAATTTTTGAAAACTTTCTGATAAAAATTTGGAAATTTAGACAAAAATCGTCGATCATATTCGAACAGCCTGACCGTAGCATGCTCTGAGGTTATTCGCTAAATTTTACAAGTTTTAATAAAAATCTTCGGAAATTTTTTCGACAAACATTCGAAAATTTCGACAAAAATCGTCGATCAAACTCGAAAACCTTGATCGTAACATGCCCTGAGGGTTTTTTTTCGCTAAATTTTACAAATTTTGATAAAAATCTTTGGAAATTTTTTGACAAAAATTCAGAAATTTCGACAAAAATCGTCGATCAAATTCGATAACT